CCGGGGCTGCTGACATGGCACAACTTTTCTAAATGTGTTTTGACCTCCCGGGTTTCCGATTTTCGTTCAAAAACACCTCCCCATTAATCAAATTTTTACCCATTTTTCCCAAAATCAATTTCAATTAAATCCAAATAATATTTTTACCCAATTTTATCATTATTTTTATTTTCATTAAATTAAATTAAATTAAAATCTTATAAATTAAATATATAAAAAATTAAACTAAAAATTCAAATACAAAAATAAAAATAAAAAAATATATTTGGGTGTTACAGGTTATGTTAATTCTTTGGGGTATATGGAATTCTAATTGAAATGAAAATGGTTTAGAGATGGTGTTGCGGATGGATTTCAATATAGATGTTCATGGTTTATGTTAATTCTTTGGGGTATATGGAATTCTAATCTTCAATCTTTAGAATTGGTTGCTAGAAGTTCAAGCCGCTCATAGTATGGATATTTTATTAAAGGTCAGCCATTCACAAGGTAGGGAAGAATAGTGCAAGGGAGTGGACTTGCCCTCCAGCCGGCTACCTCAAGATAAATTCTAATGCATCTATTGGAGGAGCTGGATGGACGGGTACAGCTTCAATTTGTAGGGATTTGTCTAGTACGGTCATCGCTATGGGGATCTAGAAGATGCATTTGCCATTATCCATTGAAGTTGCAAAAGTCCAAGCACTTTTGTCTAGGGTTCATCTAGCACATTCACGAAGATATACACATGTAATTGTTGAGGGGAATTGACATATGGTCTACTTACCTACCACCTCAACTAACTCTTCTTCAAAGTTTGCTTTACTTTTACAAGATGTTTATGAACTAGGACATTATTTTGCTGCTTTTCAGTCTTTTTTGGATTCATAGATCATGTTATCAGTAGCTCATGCTTTTTCTAGGGTGACTTTTATGCTACATGAATCTATTTGTGTAATTTAGGTTATGCCTAATTGGATGACCTATTTGTTTGCCCATTTTGAACTTGTTGGTATTTAAATGGTTAGTCTTTGTTTTTCTCAAAAATAGTTTGAAATCTGTTGCAGCAAATTTCATAATGAAAACTGTAGATATTCACAATAAAGGCAACACTAACTTATCAAAATTAAACAAATATACAAATTTTTGTCATGAATTACCTCGGCTCAGATAGCTGCTGTGAAGAAATGAATGGCAAAGAATTATAAGAACTAGTTTTTCTAGTGCTATCATTTACTTGATGGTGTAAAATAAACTCATTGTGGCCATTAAAATCTTCTAGCATTGTTGTTGACGCCTCCATGAATCTTCGGCCGTAGACCCGCAAGAAGTTCAACGACTCAATATTTGGTTCAGCCAATGGCAGACTACCTTCCAACATAGAGACAACATTAGCCATGGTTGGTCTCAGCATTGGCTCTCCATGGACACAACAAAGGGCAATACGCACAAGCTTCTCAACCTCTTTGCTTCCCACCCTGCCCTCCAGCCTTGAGTCTGCCAGCTCCAAATATTTCCCTTGCTCGTGCATTTCCAGAGCAAATAGAGGGAAATAAACTTGCCTCAACTCACTTCCGCTGCTATGATTTTCAACATTCTGATGCATTGTCTGCAATGAGCAGTTTCTTCGTCCTCTCACTATTTCAAGCAACACCATTCCATAGCTATACACATCAGTTCTATCCGAAATTCCTGAACTAGTAAGCCATTCTGGGGCAAGGTATCCTCTGGTTCCTCTTAATGTTGTCATGTGACATGATTGTTCAGGATTGAGCAACTTTGAAAGCCCAAAATCTGTTAGTTTCACTTGTAAATTTTCATGTAAGAGAATATTCTCTGGCTTGATATCACAATGGATGATCTTGTGATCACACCCACCGTGCAAATAAGACAGACCCCTAGCAGTTCCAAGAGCTATTTCATATCTTTTAGGCCATTCAAGAGCTGGTTCTTCATCAAACAAGGTACGATCTAACGATCCCCTATTCATGTATTCATAAACCAAAAATCGTTGTCTCCCTTGCACACAGAATCCTTTCAGTTTAACCAGATTAATATGGTGAACATTTCCAATAATGGCAATCTCAGTACAGAATTCTTTCTTGCCTTCAACTCCCACATTAGTTATCTTCTTCACAGCCACAATAGAATTGTCTGGCATGATGCCCTTGTATACAGTACCAAAGCCTCCACTACCAATCTTAGTCTTGAAATTATCAGTTGCAGTTGCAAGCTCACTATAATCAAACCGAACTGGCAATCCTGGAATGGTGATTATTTCCAACTCAGATGAAGATGAGTTCCTCGAACCAAATTTGGCAACCAAGACACCCTTTTTCCTGTTTCTTCTTCTCCACCAGAGTATTCCCATAACAATAAATATCAATAACAATAAAGACCCAGATAAAGGAAACAGTATCAGAGTTAAAGATGGATTATGCTGATGGGTTTTAGTTGAATTTAAACCTTGGTCAACAACAAAAGTTTTTATATAACCCAAATGGAGCCTCTTCCTAGTGGTGCTTGACATGAGAGAACCCATTTGGTTTTGGACAAGATAACAAGACCCAGTTGAACTCCCATAGAAAATGACCAAGCAAGAACAATTTTTGGAGCATAAATCTTGACATTCCAATAATCCAATACCCTTTTTAACAGGCTCTACGAAATCATTAGCGAAATAATCCACACCATCCCCCAGACCCAAATAGGAAACTACCGAAAAATTTGACTCACTGCTATTTCGATTACAGAAGCATCCGGGCAGAGAAATAGACGATCAGTAGGACGCAAGTTTCATTTACTTGA